ACACAAGCAAAATGATGCAGCTAGTTCTTCTTCAATTGGCAGCCCCGACTTTACTGGTTCACACTAACTGGTTCTTTTGATGATTTAGCTTAAATATGTCAGAGCGGGTTGAGGATGATAGGTTTGTCTCATCTCGCATAAGAACCCAAAGATGACAATTGTTCCTCATCCGACCAGGAGGGTAACTAGGAGCACCAGTCAATCAGGTGATGTGCCCCGAATCATGCTACAAGTACATTAAGTTTCACATCAAGTTTTACATTGTTCCACGTAGCGCTACCACATTGAACAGTTTTTGAATTTAACATACTTTCCCTCCAAACCGTTTTTGAATTTACACACAATGTCAAACTTCATGTAAAGCAAAGAATGTACAAATAGCATTATACGATGTGCCCCCATTTCCAAATTTTTACAAGTGTAGAATGTGAAGGTATAGCTAGGTGTTATTAGGGATGTCAAAATGGCTCGTCGACTCGAGCTGCTCGTAGCACGAAACCACCGAGCCTCATTTTGGGGCAAAGGCTCGTGTCACAGGCCATTTTCGGCTCGGATGAGCCGAGCCAACTCAGCCAAGTTTAAAAAAAAGTTAAAAAAAAATTAATTCAGCTGCATGCAAAACGCAGGCAACTATGACAGCACGCAGACACAGCGCAGACAACTGCGAATATTAAAAAAAAGGGGAAAAAATCGAGCCGAAAGTTCGGGTCGAAGCTAAAATTTTTGGCTAAACAAAAGCTCAACTTAGCTCAAAGAGAAAAAAGCTCGAACTATTTTTACTCGAATCGAGTCCGAGCTTCAAGTTTCGGCTCAGCTCGCTGACATCCCTAGGTGTTACATACAAATTGGACGATCGTGATGTAAAGTAATATTGTTGGTGGTGATGGAAGTGGTGGCTAGATGGAGGTTGGTCATTTTAATTTTTGGAAAAGGCCTCTTGTACAGAATGGGCATGACAGAAACCATACAGAAATTTAAAAAATCTTTGACTTTTTAGAGGGAAAATTGACTTGGAGATTAAAAGAAACAAGAATCCAAGAAAATTACAATCGGGTTTCAAATTTGAAAATGCCAACACAATTATAAAAATAGAATCCATTCAATTTCTGGAAGTAAATATTAAGAATTTGTTAAAATTCAAAAAATCTTGCATCTTCAAAACCCACAGATCTTACCAATTCGAAATGCTATAGATTCGGTAATAACGATGCCGGTCGGAGAGGTACTGACTTCGAACTCGACAGAAATAACGGGGAAAATAAAATGTGATTCCTTGTTGCTTCGCGGTCGCGGGAAATGGTGCGAGAAGAACGGGCAAGGGGGTTTCCTTTCTCTTTTTTGGGAAGGAGGGTGTGGGAAAGCAAGTTCAGAGATGTGCAGGGAAGGTGGGTGTTGGCAATGGGGAATTGAGGCCTTTCTATTTTTTCAAAGAAGACAGCCTTTTCCCTTTTCTATAACAAGTGCCTGCCAGCTCACGGGACAACTCATCTGTATTTTTTCCGTGAACGGCTTTCTGTACACAGTGCGATTGTTAATTTTTATGGTTGTGATTTGCAATTTTGAAAGTTTCCGATGTGACAGCTGATCATGGTGGTGACAACAGTGATAATAATGATACATGGATTAATAAGTTATAATACAAAAAATTATACACATTGTAACAATAATATGTGCGATTTTCTTGTGTTGATGTGGTGATTATTGGTGGTAATGAGGTGCTTGTCACATATGGTGGTAGAGGTGCATGAGTTGACGAGTTAATACCAAAAAATTACACATAATAGCAATGTATGCAATTTCATTATATTGATGGATGATTGTTTGCGGTGGTGTAATAATTTGAAGTTATATTTTTCAAAAAAATTACATACTAACAATAAAACAATGTAAATTACATCTTCGAAGAAATTATATAACGTAACATAATTAAATGTAAATTAACATAGGTTAAGTTACAATAACTCTTACTTAGCTGTTGTTTGAACCTCTTTTTTTCAAAAAAAATGCATTTTGTAATAGCGTTATGACGGAGAATGTATAATTGAAATAGAAGAAAAAATTTTGAATTTGCATGGAATATTATTTTATTAAAAAATTTGTGATTGAAAATATAGTCAAATCATTACTAAAGAATACATTCTGATGGAAAAAATGGGACTCAAACAAGGGCTTATTAAATAAAGGTTTTTTTTGTTAAAAAAATGTTTTAAGAAAAATAAGATACAAACAATTACATACACATGAAAATCTTATATACAAAAATTAACAAATTTGAAGTCAAGCAATTTTTTGAAATGCTTTTTAATTTATTCGAGTTTGAAATAAATCACCTAAATTTTGTAATCACCAAACACAGTGTAATCGCAGAAATTTAATCCACCTTATTGCTAAACTTGTTTTTATTTTCACACAAACTAAGAAAATATAATTAATATAGTTAAAAATATAATTTTTTATTTTTACATTTTTTATAAATACTCCTATATTAAATAATGATTTAAATAAAAGTATTTCATATATATTAATAGTAAGGCACATTAAGCACTTGTTTGGGCTTCATTTTAATGAGATTTTGGAAAAAAAAAAATATATTTTAAAATAATAATTTTTTTGGGAGTGTATAATTAAAAGGTCATGAAAAATTTTAAATTTATGTATAATATTATTTTATTGAAAAATGTTTGATTGAAAATGAAGGGGAAAATGCATTAAATTAAAATACAGTCCAAACAACTAAAAATTTAACTATACTCTTAACAAGAAAAATGATACAAAAAAGGAAAGCAAGCCTATTTTTATGGACAAAGAGAGTAAAAATTATACACTAAATTAAAGGGTCAGACTGAATTGAGA